GGATGGATGGATGGATGGATGGATGGATGGATGGATGGATGGATGGATGGATGGATGGATGGATGGATGGATGGATGGATGGATGGATATTCATAAATTTAAAACAAAACTTGCTCGACTGCAAATTAGTTCACAGAAAATAAGAGATATTGGCAATATATACAAATAAAAAGTACTACTTTGAAATAAATTATTTAATATAAAATTTTAAACATAATGCATATGTGTTGAATTCTAAGGCCTTCTCTCAAGGTGTTGAAGCCCCTTCATTGGTTTAGTGGTAACGGTCATAATTTCTAGACACCTACAGGCTGCAGGGGCTTCTCAATAAGCTGCTCCCCTTATCTTGTTACCACATCACAACAATAATACACATTTAACAATAACTTACATTTGTAAGGTCCAATTTTACAATTTTGTCCAGATATTTTCCATAGTGTAAATTACTGGACACTACAACAGATAGGATGTGCCTCTTTTTGCTTTGGCAGATCGTCAACCCATTCTAGTCCTTCACCATCTAATATTGCCATATGACCTACCTTTTCCCAGACATGCATGATTATCTTTAAGATAAAGCTAAACATGAGAATACTCCCAGGTAGCTTTTACAAAACCAGAGAGTGAAATGATCCAAGTCATGAAATTTAAATGTAAGGCTTGTTAGCAGCTCCTTAAAGCTACTTCCACATCAGGCTGCAAACAAAGACAGAGTGGAATAATTAGCAAAGTAAGACGTGTTTTAACCGTTATTGGAATAGATGCAAAAACTTTCACAACTTGAGATCACAGGGGAGCATCCATCACATGAAAGCTGACTACTCAATATCTCATTAAATCAAGGCCTAAATATTTTGGCTAACAGTTTTATGCTCCCTTGCTCAAGATATTTCTGTCAGCAGTAGGGTGATGCTGTAATTTCTTGAACATAGCTGTGCATTCAAGCACATCGCCACAGAGGCACATGCACACACACACACACACACGACTGCTACAGCACATTTATTTGTACAGAAAAAAATTACTGGACAGTGACAGCCTTCTCCAATAATCCGCCACAACAAAGAGTTGCTGTATCAAGCCGGCTTTAACAAAAGCAAAGCAGGCACACAATCGAAAGCAAATCTTTCACTGGGAAAATGCAATATAACCACGGGGCTTTTTGTCAGCTTTACACTGTGAGAAAAGAGGCAGATATGCAAGTTTTCTCAAAAGGTCCAAGTCAGCTTTTCACACAGGATTGCAGAGGTTACAAAAGAACTGCATAGGAACTGAATGGGAGAACTGGACCAACACCAATGGCATATAAACTATAACACTTGCTAATGTCTCATCCTTTTGGGGCCTTAGCATTGTCCTCTTCCTTCCTGTCACATAATTGTGTCTATATACAGAGAGGTGGTCTGTGACATGTTGCAAACAGTTTAAAAAAAGAACTGCTGTACTAAAAGTGGCAGTGAGATGCCAATGTGGGACAGTACTTGGAGACAGAATAAAATGCAAGTTTCAGCACAAACACTCGTTTATTTTAAACAGAATTTTTTGCCAAAATTCAGTCGACATCATAAATACCGGTAAGCAACCTATGCCCAAAACCTGCTTAAATTTTAAAATGTTACAATATTTAGACTGATTTTAAAGTAATACATATTTACATTACTGGTAAGTACATTTTTGTTTTTATAAGTTAGCTTTCATTGTGGTTCGTAGCCACACAGTAAAAATGATGCGATTAGATCAATGTTCTTTGCCAATTTCCATCTCTAACCCGCTGAATGCCATTTTGGCAAATTCTGATGGCCTTGTGGGAACTATACCAAAAAATAATTAAAAAAACAATAAATTCTTGGAAGCGCTATTCGAACATTTTATACTTGTGACCTGCTCAAGGTGTTCCCCACCTCTCGCACAGTGACTGCAGGATATGGTCACCAGTGACCCCCACAACCCAAAAAAGAAGCGGGTAAACTGGATGATACCTCAATTCGGACTCAAAGTTTAATATGGACCCAGATTGGTTGATAAATGTCAGTATATAAATATATATATATATATATATACACACACACAACACATTATTTATATTGCAACTTTGAGAAGGATATATATATATATATATATATATATATATATA